CCTAGTAGCTCAGGCTTCTTATTAATTAATTCTTACATCTTAAGCTAGCTAATTATTCTTGTCTGTGTCAGCCATGTGGCTAAGTACCTTTTATCAGTGAGGCATTCTCACCTTGCTTCCTCTGTGACTACTGCAGACTGACGCTTTCCTCGTCCCAGAATTCTGCTCTCATCACCCTGCCTATACTTCCTGCCTGGCTACTGGCCAATCAGCATTTTATTAAAACAATACAATATAAGTGACAGGGTACAAGACCATTGTCCCGCAGCAGGAACTCAGAGATCTACCTGCCTCTGTGTGCTGAGTGTTAAAGGCATGCACTATCATGCCTGGCTGCTTTGTTTTAGGTAGTTGAGTGGCCTGTCTGAGCACCAACCCCCGGCCATGTGTGTGTTTCTCCCCACCCCTAGTGAGAGGACTGAGAGAATGTTATAATTTCCCCTACGAAAGGAGGGACTCTTGCTTGCCACTGAGCATACGACAACTGGAAATTGGTCTGTAGAGGTTTTAGGAGGCTCCGTGAAGCCTGCTGCACAGTACTGTCAGATGAAAGTTGGAGGGGCCTGTGTCTGCCTAGGAAGGAGGCCAGTGATGGGACTGGCAAGGAAGTGACCACCTCGGTGTCCTTCCTGAAGGCTTGTTTACCATGAAAGTGCCCTCCCCTAGGAGGCTGGATCCCCACTCTCAGACTGGCTGTCTACCCTAACCTGTATCATCCCCCTGAGCGCTGGGGAGCTCCAGCCCCTCCATTACCAATCTTCAGATTCTGGAGAGGCCTGGAGCCAGCCTGTCTCCTGTGGCAGTGAGCTCTAAAGTGGCTTAACATCTGTGACTGAGAAGCTAGGGCATCCTCCATCGCTTGGCCTTATCAAACGTGGAGACCTTCCCTTCAGAAATACAGTTGAGGTCCAATGTCATACATCATTTTTTGGTCCTGCGGTGCCCCCTGGTGGCTGGAGTCTAGCTCCTAGCGGACTCAGCCTGGTGGCCCGGAAAGGGTGGCCATCCATGAAGAACTGTTGTGTCTTGTCTGATGATGGGGGGTGCAGTTTATAAAAGTGATGTGGGTTGAATTGTGTACCTCAGAGATATAAAGTTTATCTGGAAAAAGCTTCTTTGCAGATGCCATTTTGAAAAAGAAGCCGTGGGCTAGAGCGATGGCTCAGCAGTTAAGAATATTTGCTGTTCTGGGTGAGGACCCAGGTTTCTTTGTGGCAGCCAACAACCATCTGTAACTCCAGCTCCAGGGGCTCTGACAATGGCTTTTGGCTCCCACTGGCACTGGGCATGCATATGGTGTATATACATATGCATATGTATGCACATGCTTACATACATACATACACAAAGAACAGGAGGAAAAGGTATGGACTGTTGAGATGGCTCTTCCCTATTGGGTAGTAGAGCTTGGCAAACCTGACCATCTAAGTTCAATCCCTGGGACCTAATTGGTGGAAGGACCTGACAGCCTTCTGCAAATTATCCTTTAACTTCCGCCACATGTGTGCATGTGCGAACACACGTGGACACACACACACACTGCAAAAAGAAAGGAAGGTGTAGACCTTGGGGTGGCCCCTTAACCTAATGTTCTTTGTTTCTTAAGAAGAGGAGAAATGCCAGGTGGTGATATTGCACCCCTTTAATCCCAACACTCGGAGACAAAGGCAGGAGCATCTCTGAGTTCAAGGCCAGCCTGGTCTACATGGAGAGTTCCAGGACAGCCAGGGCCACACAGAGAAATGCTGTCTTGGGGGAAAAAAAGGAGAGACATAGAGGCATACATAGAGCAGGAATACCACGATCGCAGATCAGAGCTTGGAGTGATGCACCTATAAGCTAAAATGTTTGAAGAGGGGCCTGGGTCAGATGGTCCTTGGCTTTGGAAGACGCCAGTCAAGACTTCACATTCATTGTGGATTTTTAGCCTCCAGAGCTGTGAGACACATGGAGACATGTGTTGCTAAAGCTTCTTTGTAACATAGCAGATGGCGGAGAGAACAGAGAAAGGGCTAGGGACAGAAATAGACAGACACGGAGAGAGACAGACACGGAGAGTCTGGGCCATTTTGCTGGGCCTGCTTGTTTTATTTAAACAGATAAGAGAAAGCCCTGGAACTCCGCTAATACAGGTAGCTTTTGTTTTAAGTAAATGTATTCTAAACTCTACAGCAGAAGCATGATCTGAAATAGAATCTTTCTGTCTGCACTGTGGCTGTCTGTCTCTATGGGTATTGTGCTTGCCTAGCATGTGCAGAGCTGTGGGTTCGATCCCAAGCAAACTACGTGTGAAGATGCACACCTGTGGTCTCGGTACTCGGGTGCTGGAGGCAGGATTTTAGGCCAGCAGAATAAATGCTGCACATCCTGTTAGCGCCACAGTTTGATTTAGACCCGCAGGGACATGAGTTCGGTAAGGTTCCAGATGCTGAGGGCCACAGAGTCTGTGCTGCAGTTACTCACTTCTGCCTAAAGGGCAGCACAGCTTACAGTTTAAAACGCTTTCTGTGATCCCAAGTGGAAAACAGGCGATTCATCCCCGCTTTTAAAGAATCACACCTGAGGCACGAGATTTTAAAACACCCACCCGCATGTTCCCACAGCTGCCCACCGTCCTGCCTTCTTCAGTATTTCCCTCCTTCCTGAAGACATCCGTTGGGCATTCTGTAGAACAAGGACACAGCATCACGAGTCTTAGCCCTTGCTCGTTTGAAAACCTTATTTTGCTCTCAGCTTTGTCAGATGTTATTTCTTGGCAGAGGATTCTGGGTCAGCAGGTTTTTCTTCCCAGGCTGCCTGCTGGTGTCCGGCTTCTGTTGGGAAGCCAAATGCAGTTACGCCAACTTTGAGCCCCACACAAGCTGTTTTATTTTGGGTTGCCTTTAAGATTTCTCTCTGTGCTGGGCGATGGTGGCGCACGCCTTTAATCCCAGCACTCGGGAGGCAGAGGCAGGCGGATCTCTGTGAGTTCGAGACCAGCCTGGTCTACAGAGCTAGTTCCAGGACAGGCTCCAAAGCCACAGAGAAACCCTGTCTCGAAAAACCAAAGAGAATAAAAAAATAAAAGATTTCTCTGTGTATTCTTGCATTTTTCGGAACTTGACTGTGATGGGCTACCTGTGCCCTAATGGCGTTGGGCCTCTCACAGAGTCAGTCTTTGAACTTCTAAGATCGGTGGCGTTTTTAGAATCCTAGAAAAGTCTATGTGTTTTATACTTACCCTCCCCCCAGATATCTTTTTTGTTCTATTATTATTTGATTTTATCCATTTTGGGGTTACAACTGTAGGGTGTCGGGCCATTTGCAATGTGTTGCTTCTCCAGCATCACCACCACTGCTGTCACCACTGTCAGCCCCACCGCCACCCCACCACAGCCTCCGCCCCCACCTTCACCACCGCCACCCCACCACAGCCTCCGCCCCCACCTTCACCATCCCCACCCCACCACAGCCTCCGCCCCCCACCTTCACCACCCCCACCCCACCACAGCCTCCGCCCCCCACCTTCACCACCCCCACCCCACCACAGCCTCCCCTCCACCTTCACCACCCCCACCCCACCACAGCCTCCGCCCCCCACCTTCACCACCCCCACCCCACCACAGCCTCCGCCCCCCACCTTCACCACCCCCACCCCACCACAGCCTCCGCCCCTCACCTTCACCACCCCCACCCCACCACAGCCTCCGTCCCCCACCTTCACCACCCCACCCCCACCCCACCACAGCCTCCGTCCCCCACCTTCACCACCCCCACCCCACCACAGCCTCCGCCCCCCACCTTCACCACCCCCACCCCACCACAGCCTCCGCCCCCCACCTTCACCACCCCCACCCCACCACAGCCTCCGCCCCCCACCTTCACCACCCCCACCCCACCACAGCCTCCGCCCCCCACCTTCACCACCCCCACCCCACCACAGCCTCCCCCCCACCTTCACCACCCCCACCCCACCACAGCCTCCACCCCCCACCTTCACCCCCCCACCACAGCCTCCGCCCCCACCTTCACCACCCCCACCCCACCACAGCCTCCGCCCCCCACCTTCACCACCCCCACCCCACCACAGCCTCCGCCCCCACCTTCACCACCCCACCCCACCCCACCACAGCCTCCGCCCCCACCTTCACCACCCCCACCCCACCACAGCCTCCGCCCCCCACCTTCACCACCCCCACCACAGCCTCCGCACCCCACCTTCACCACCGCCCCCCACCACAGCCTCCGCCCCCCACCTTCACCACCAAATCTGTCTCATATCAGGAGAGCCACCTGATATGGGACAGAAGAAAATCCAAAATTAAGGGATTATTCTGTTGACACTAAGCTCATAATCCTTTGGTTTTATTTTGACTCTTTAAAACGTTTCTTTTTTTTTTTTTTTTTTTTTGGTTTTTCGAGACAGGGTTTCTCTGTGGCTTTGGAGCCTGTCCTGGAACTAGCTCTGTAGACCAGGCTGGTCTCGAACTCACAGAGATCCGCCTGCCTCTGCCTCCCGAGTGCTGGGATTAAAGGCGTGCGCCACCACCACCCGGCTTAAAACGTTTCTTAAGGTATAAATATTATCTCAAAATTTGTAAGATTGGGCTGGAGAGATGGCTCAGAGGATAAGAGCACTGGCTGCTCTTCCAGAGGTCCTGAGTTCAATTCCCAGCAACCACATGGTGGCTCACAACCATCTGTACTGAGATCTGGCACCCTCCTCTGGCGTGCGGGCAGAATGTTGTATACATAATAAATAAATAAATCTAAAAAAAATTTTTTGTAAGATTATCATACATATTTAAACTTTCTGTCATGATATTAATGGTCATATAGAGTACTAGCTAATTCTAGAAATAGGCTTCATCTAGCTTCCTGTATGTGATTTTGGGTTTGAGTCTAAAGCAGGTAACTAGGAATTAAACTTATGTACCCTGGATGTATTTAATAGATTATGGTCCTTTAAACTCTCTGAGATCTGCTGCATATGACACTCAGAATGTTTACATTTTCTGCAGTGAACCATGACCATTCCTGGCAGTGACCTTTGAGGTCTCCAAGATGATGGGGACCTGCAACAACAAATCCACCTGACTGCAATAATGCCATTAAAGCTGACAACCACCACCCACAAATCAACTGCTCAGGACAACTTCAAAGCTGCTAAGAGGGTCCAGCCTGATAACTACTCCAGCCAGGACTTCAAACAAGCCCTGCATTTTCCCATCACACCTAGCCTAGACATCAGCTAGTTCTCCCAGAACTTGACCATTATCTTAATTTTCTCAAGGTCTCCTAAAGGTGCCATCACCCCCAGACAACAGGAAGTGATTTTAAGAACGCAATGCCCATATTCCCAAGAGGTAGGGTGGGTGATTTTTGGCCAGTCAGAGGGTTATGGATGCTTATCATCATTTAGAGGGTGTGGTTACATGCTGTTATTGGTCATGGTCAGGGAAGAAACTAAACAAAGGAGACTAGATTCAGGGATCTTGTTCTGGAAAGAAAAAAAGGGGGGTATAGGAGTGATAGAATAAAAGGGTAGATGATTGAATCTACTTTTAAACTGATGAAGCAACTACTAGTCTTAAATATTTTATATTGATAAGGATTTTTGTATATTGACACAAATTTAAGTTTATTTTTGTTATACTATATATATGGTTCTCCTCTTGTGTAAGGAATTGCATGTATGCAGCTAATTTAATAATGTATTGTAAATTTGTAGTCCTTGAAAGTTATTATTACAAACTATTTAAGATAATTAAAAAATACAGGTTAGTAGTTAGTCATCTAACAATCAAATTTGTGACCATGTTAGTTAAGGTATGTTTTCAAGGTCAAACAGATATATTTTAGATAGACATATGGTCTTCAAACATTTCAGAGACCTACACAATATGGAGTTTAAGATATTTTAATAACAGCTGGTCAGTGGTGGTACATACCTTTAATCCCAGCACTCAGGAAGCAGAGACGGGCAGATCTTTGTGAGTTTGAGACCAGCCTGGTCTATAAGAACTAGTTTCAGGACAACCAGAGCTTTTACACAGAGAAACCCTGTCTTGAAAAACAAAACAAAAAAAAATTAATAACATAAGGCTTTTCATGACAGATATGTTTGTTCCAGACAGTACCAATTTACTTCAAAAAAGAATAATTGGTACCAAAGAACCTCCATATGGAGTTTACTTTCATTGTAGCAAAGTTAGCTACTGGGCAAGAAACTGCCCTTTCCTTGACTGATGACGTTATGTTGTCCAAATTGGGCAAGCAGAACACAACATAAGGTAGTGACTGCCAAACTTTGCAGGTAAGACAGTCCTTCAAAAATTCCTGCTTCACAAAAAAGTCTATCAGACAATCTAGGCCTGTAGGCCAAAGCTGGATGCCCCAACATGGGTGACTATCCAGGCAGCCAGATGTCTTTGTTGCTTTTGGAAGTTTGCTCTGTGCTTCCTGCTTACTGAGCTAATATTATATCCTTCCTGGGTCTCTGATGGTGTTGAGGACTAGATAGTTATAGTTTTCCTTGTTACCAAATTTAGAAAAGAAACTCACAAAAGAGATGTACATATATAAAGTTGAGAGACATAAAAACTTAAGTTGTTTATCTAAGAAAATGTTTTTTAAAAGATTTATTTATTTGTTTATTAATTAATTAATTATGTATACAACATTCTGCCTCCATGTATGCCTGCACGCCAGAGGAGGGTGCCAGATCTCATTACAGATGGTTGTCAGCCACCATGTGGTTACTGAGAATCGAACTCAGGACCTCTGGAAGACTTCTTAACCACTGAGCCATCTCTCCAGCCGCCTAAGAAAATGTTTTAAGGTTTTAAAAAGCTATTTCTAGGTTGGTAATACAAGTTACTATAGAAAGTGAATTAAGTACAAAACTTTGGACTCACCAAGATAGGACTGATAATAGAGTGTTTTCTCCAAAGATGTCAAATACAAATAGACTAGACATTGTAAGTGTAATTCTTACCCGACAAGTGTTCTTATTGTATACAGTTTTACTCTGTTAGAGTTAAAACCTTTCCTTTTTATTTAGACAAAAAAAGGGAAATGTTGTGGGATATTTGCTTGCACTGACACTCTGAGACCACTGCCATTAAAGTTTAACCTTGAATCAGGGGCAGAGTTAGTGACTGGCTGACCAGAATTAGCCATGGAGGTTTTGGAGGAGCCAGGATACATATAGAGAGACATAGGAAGCAGAAGGGATGAGTTTAGAAGGATTTGCAGCCCTTTTGGATTGGGAAAGGAGAGAGAGAGGAGGTCACTGATCATTTCTCTGCTTCTTCTTTGATCAACCAGATTTTTACCCCAGTATCTGTCTCCTGAGTTTTATTTAATAATAGAACAATGCAAGTACACCCTCCTTCCTTCCTTTCTTCCTTCTCTCCTTCTTTCCTTTCTTCCTCCCTCCCTTCCTCCCTCCCTCCCTCTATCCCTCCCTCCCGCCTTCCCTCCTCCCTCACTTCCTTCCTTCTCTCCTTCTTTCCTTTCTTCCTCCCTCCCTTCCTCTTTCCCTCCTTCCATCCCTCTCTCCCTCCCGCCTTCCCTCCTCCCTCACTTTCTTCCTTCCTTCCCTCCTTCTTTCATCCCTCCCTCCCTCCCTCCCTCTATGCCTCCCTCCCGCCTTCCCTCCTCCCTCACTTCCTTCCTTCCTTCCTTCCCTCCTTCTTTCCTCCCTCCCTCTATCCCTCCCTCCATCTATCCCTCCCTCTATCCCTCCCTCCCTCCCGCCTTCCCTCCTCCCTCACTTCCTTCCTTCCTTCCTTCTCTCCTTCTTTCCTTTCTTCCTCCCTCCCTCCCTCCCTCCCCCTATCCCTCCCTCCCTCCCTCCCTCTATCCCTCCCTCCCTCCCGCTTTCCCTCCTCCCTCACTTCCTTCCTTCCCTCCTTCTTTCCTTCCTTCCAGTGCTGGATTTGGACCCAGGACCTTGTGCATGCTAGGCAAGTGTTTTACAACTGAGTTACTTTCTTAGCCTCCCCCACCCCATTCTCCTTCCTTCCTCTCTTTCTTCCTGACTCCCTTCTTCCTTTTTTCCTTCTCTTTTCTCTTTTTGTTTTCACAAAGCCTTACTTACTCTGTAGCCTAGTTTGTCTTGAGCTCAAAATGATCTTCCTGCCTCAGCCTAGTTGGGATATTTTCTAGGTTGATATAGGTCACCACTCTGTAACCATCCTACTGAGCAGAGATGAGAGTGACAGGAAGTGCCAGTGTTGGGGAAATTGAGGTGCAGACTGTGGCTGAGGCTCTGAGTGCAAAGTAGCTGCCCAGGGTTGCAGAGTTGCCCAGATGAGTGGTTTCCATAATCAGAGGCTCTGGAAGCGTGAAGTTTGGTGTTATTCTGTCCCCAAGAGGCCTTCTATGACTGGTCTCAGTGGGACCTCAGCAGCTCCCTTCCTGCTGGTCTCGAGAGCCTGAGAAGTGAGCCATGAGGGACATGTGGCCCTATCTGACTTACGAGCTGAACTTCAGGGTCTCATTGCAGGGTCAGACTTCTTCCAGAGGTGCTGTGGGACACTAGCTTTGCCCAAGGATTTGATTCCAGGGTCTGAGGACTTGACTTTGACAGTGGGGCCTCCAAGGAGCTTTCAACAGAGCACATTTTGTCATGCTGGGTAAACACAGCCAGGCTTAGCCTGTGCAGAGATGGGACGGCCTGCTCCTCCTCTACCCTTTGTGCTTTGTTAACAGAATGTCCCTGGCACACTGGGCTCTAGCTCGTGCCAACTTGGTTTGGCCCTCGAATTCGGCAGGGCACTTTCAGAGCCAGGGTCCTTCCTCAGAAGGTATGTTTTTCATTTCAGTACCTGCCAGGAGTTTAGTTTCAAGGTTCACACTCATTTGCCTCAGTTGCTTTCTGCTGCAACCCCGTTAATCAGCCTCTCCCTCTGGGTGGAAAGGAGACAAGGTCCCAAGCAGCAGCAGCACGGCCCTCACTGCAGTCAGCTGGTGACGTCTGTCTCCTTCGTGCTCCAGAGCAGCCTGTGTGCTTGGGGAAGAGCCAGCCTCCTGAAGTCAGTCAAGGTGGATTTGACCCCAGGCTTGCTGCCTCTCTGGCCAGACAGGCAGGGCAGAACTCCTTGTGAGGGAGTAGAGTGGAGAAACATGAGCTCTGGGTCTCAGGACCTGGAGTAAGGTTCAGGTGCCTCTGCGCCGCTGCCAACTTTCCTCCTTGTCCTTGGGAAGGCCACATTCCTTTCAAAACCAGAAAGACAACTTGCAGGGAAACTGCCAGGCCTGGGCTCCTGACTGCTCAGCTCAGGGTGAGGTGGTCCTGGTGCTAGAATGGATGTTCCACTAAGGAGGGCAGCAGTCGGTGTCCTGTGGTGAAGCCAGACACAGCGGCCTTAACCATTTGGTTTTCGTGGTGTTTGTTTTGGTTTCCAGGGTAGCAGGGTTAAAGATGGGCACCGAGCAGCCTTGCCACACTTTAGAAGATGCTCAGTCACTTGCTACGTTATGTAACCTGTCTCATGTCTTTGGCTCACTCTCCTTGCCTGTCCTGCTGCTGCCCAGCTGTGCTGCCATATACATGTCCCTTAGCATGTCAAGGCCTCATTTCCTACAGCTGACAAACTAAATATTACTTCAGGGCTCTTCCAAGGAGCAGGAAAGCCAACAAAAGTACCACATTGCACACTGTGAGACTCAAGTATTATTCTTCTATTTTGTTTTTGAGATGGCCTCTCATGTAGCCCAGGTTAGCCTTGAAAACTCTATATAGCCCAGGCTGACTTTGAATTCCTAATCGACCTGCCTCCACATCCCAAGTAAGGCATACACCGCCACAACTGGCTTCTTAAATATTATTATCTGTGACAATAATATCTTTTCTTTATGTGTGTATGGTATGTGTATATACATATGTTGTGTAGACACGGTTACATGTGTAAGCATGCATGTGGAGACCAGACTGGGTCAACTTCAGGTGTCAATCTCTATTCTTCCGCATCTTATTTTTTGAAAGCCTCTCATGGAGCCTGGAGCTCAACAATTCTTTGCTAATAAGCTGCTTTCCCAGCCCCTTACCAGCCTTCCCTATAGACACTTTGGTCAAGGACTAGCCTCATTGCTTGCCTCTTCAGTGAACTTGGAGCTCAGGCACCCTGCCTGCTGCTGAGACCTCCTGCAGCTGGAATTCTGCACTGCTTCTGTGAGCCTGGCTTTGAGCTGCCCCACCCCCCACCCTCAAACCCCTTCCCTGATATTGCCTCTGCATTTTTCTGTGCTCTTGTGTGGCGGCAGAATGAAGCTATGGCTGTTGTGGAGCCATCCTCCGGGAAGTAACCAGCAGAGGGCGCAAGCTAGCTGCTGCTCTCTGGAAGAGCTCCATCCTCTCCCTGCTGGGCTAGC